ATTATGAGCTGTCAACGTTGAGCAAGACATTGATAACATCACAGACCCAACGTTGTTTTCAAACACAAATTACTTTACTCGTTTAATGAATCTGATATTGTAGCATCTCTCATAAGATACCCTTTATATCTAGAGTAAACTATACACTTTTGCGTGGATAAATGTTCACTGGTAATATAGTTACTAATTAAAATTAAATTTTGCGCCTGCTTTGAAAATAAAGAACGTAAATAATTGGTAATCTTCTTCGAGCACATTTATTCGAGCATGATAACAAAAATGAAATAAAATCGAAATTGGATTCGAAACTTAAAATAACAATGTTACGTATTGCGTGGGATTCTTTTTATCCGAAAAAGCATAATGATGTAATAAAGATAGTGGTTGCGTTTAATGAGCTGTGTTGTTATATGTTGCATAACACCTTTTTCCAATTGGCAAATTGTACTGGGGGAAATGAGGTATTTGAAGTGAAATGAAGTTACATATTGTATTTTTATTTAAGTACTTGTATCAGTAATAAGTACAAAGTATGCTGGCAAATGAATCCGTAATATAACACATGGCCATAATGACTTCCTTTGATGTAAACAAAATGGGTAATTTGTAGTTAATATTTGCATTTGGCTAAGTATTAACATCGCCTGGCAGAACTGGATATAGATGAAGAAATATAAATACAGCAGAGGCTATAATTTTGATAGTTTACCGACAGTATGGATGGGAAACAGTTCAGGTGGTTCGTACATTTGTTTTTAGTCGTGTCATGGGCATTTAGCGTAAGTAAATGTTAATTTGTCAGACCATAATTTATTAAACTGTAATTCGTATTTACAATATTCAATCACACATACACTATACAGAAAATGTATTTTATGTTATTTTGATAATGGCACAAAAAGATATGCAGTGGGTGTCACAAGTGGCGCAGGTTGTGCTCACTCTTCGAAACATCCAACATCACTTTATAATTACTATGGAGTCCATATCAATTTCAAGTTTTATTTGATTTAGTGTATAGTGTACATACACTTGTTTTTGTTTTGTTATTGTGGATTGTTCTGCCAATTGCTGTCAGTCATTTGTTTTTCGTTCTTGGACTTGAAAAATATCACTAATATCACTATATGATTTATTTTTAAATATATGTATGTTATTTCTAATTAAATTCATGTATGTTATTTTACTTTCATTAGGGTGATACGCAAAGTGGTAAGAATCGTTTTTTGTATATTTGTATGATTGTATAGTACACAATGAGTGTGCTTTAGAACTTGATATATAATAAATGTGAAATTATTTGATGTGACATTTCCTGTTGTATCTAGTCAAAAAATATCATCTGTGGTAATAACTTGTTTATGAAATTGATTTACTTTAAACTAACAATTTTATTTCGCTCTTATCCTTCCGCTTTGAGAAAAAGTTTTAACATATATCTTTAATTTAATATTCCTTTCAAAATGAAGAGTGTAGGAATTGGACACAGTGGATGGATGACGAAAATGGTGGCCTTGTTGACCCTGCAATTGTTGAATTTGAATACCTTCCTGATCTTCGTAGTTTCTATGATTTCTGCGAAACCCCTAGCAGTATTGAGTGTCGTACAGTGATTGAACCGTTTACACTATCGTACGAAACTGGACAGACCGTACACTGTGATTTACCCGATGGCTTGATATGCTTTCATGAAGACAATGTGTCCCCTTGTATGAACTACAAGATTCGATTGTGTTGCCCGTTGCCATTGGAAAATAGTAAGCAGGGTACACATTTTGCATTAATAGTTTGTAGTAGCATGGGATACCAGTTAAATTAATGAATTGTTTAATTCCATGTATTGTGGATTGTTTTATGATAAACTGATTCAATATATTCATAGTATGATGTACGATAGTATGACGTGACTTAGAACCGATTGTATTCAAAATATTAACCCCTAGATATATAATTGCAATTTTAATTTGTATTACGTGAATTTGTAACAGTCGTGATTTTATTTTCATTTATACTAGACGAACTATGTGTTGGTGACAATTTATATAAAATGGTTTGGCAAGGCTCCCTGACGTGGCACGACGCAGATACACAATGCAAGGACCTCTTCGCTCCAAGAGGCTTTGTTGCCGGTTTAGCTAATTTAGAATCTAACAGTGTACGAAACTCGGTGAGAAATTTCACAAAGAATGTTCCGGGATTGTCCGACCCAAAAGGGAAAGGCTACTGGATTGGGTGTCACGACGAGGAAAATGAAGGCATATTCGTATGGTTGAATGGAGAGAAGGTTAATGTGCCTGACAGTGCCTGGTATTCCTATCCAAACAACAAATATACCGGTAATTGCGATGCAAAAGATGGGGACCAGGATTGTTGTCAACTGTGGTACGTTGATTCAAATTTCAATATTCTGCTTGCAATCTGTGTTTTATTCAAACATTTTCCATAAAGTGTTATTCAGCTAATCACTTCGTGACGTACGTGGCGTACTCTGTAATCGTACCAAGTCACTTTATTAGGGCAAAACGCAACGCGTAACTTATGAGTATTGGTTCGTTTATTGCTTCATGCATTATATTTTTATACATAGGAAAAGACCAAAAAATGACCCTACCTTCAAAATGGATGATGTGTGCTGTACAGATAAAAAGGCTTTCATTTGTGAAGTTCGTAAGTTTATCATAACATGATTAACTATCAGATCAAAATAGACACTCAGATTCAACTGTTTTTTTCCCTATTTAACAGGCAAGACGGAAACAATTTTGAAAGTTTTTTATTGTTGCTCAGAACAATATGATGTGATATTATAGTAGATCGTGTCTCCCCATTTCGTCTATCTGATTATAAAATTTACATTTTATCTCCAGCTGGATACTGCGCAAGTCCATAGAAGACGACGTCACACCACCATATGGTTTATAAAAAAAACACCATATGGTTTATAAAAAGTAACAATTATAGACGGCGATAAGTAATTATTTAAAATATCATTGATATGTAAATTAGCGCCACATTACATCATAATTAAAGTCATCATTCATCAAATGACGTATGACGCCATGTGAATATGTATTTGTGTACATGTGTGTATTTGCATATTTTTATTACCTTTTCGTTTATTTGTGTGCTTGAGAGAGAAGATATTTATGTTCCCGCAATTTTACCTTATAGACCATTCCTCGCTCTCTGCGAGATCCAGCGTTATACTTGAAATCGAACGTCAAACCAGGATAAACAAAGGCCATAGCGTCGTAGAAATCGCGTCAAACCTGGCGCCAGATTCGACAATGGATACTGGGGGTATTTCCACGCTTAATAATGTGCTGTATAAATTTGATGATGGTGAATTTCGATGAATTAAAGAAATCTAAATGTAACATTTCCCTGTCAAAAATCGGCCTTTCGACTTTGAGGTACGGAAAAAAGAAACTGGTTCAAAATTAAATTTTTCGATTTTTGCTGCAGACGCTCGGTTCGTTTCGAACACGCAATAACCGAGATCACGCAGTTGAACGGAAAATTACCTATTTAGGGCGGATTTTTATCGATCCTTATGAGCAATCATATTATCGGTTGTTCTCAGTTTTCAGTTGTTTATCTTAGCGTTATTGTGCTGAGAGTTATTACGTACACCACGTCAGTCTACAGCCATGGGTCCGAGGCAGGCGTCATTTTTGTTCCGGGTGTCATTGAAGTCACTGCTATCATTTCTAATGTCTTTTGTCTTAGCTGATAATTCCAAGTACACATGTAAGCTTTCTCCTAAGCCTAATACCGCGTGTTTGGAAAGCAGAGAAGACTACTCTGATTTACACTATTGGGTGAATATCCGGCACCTTGATTCTAACTAGCACTTCACTGACACAATGGATGTGCATCACCAAATTCACTGCCAAATTAACACAAATACACATTTTCTCAAAACAAATACAATATATACCCCACTCTATAGTAGTACAACTACTATGGAGTACAGCAACAATGGTTTTTCATTTTAAAACTATTCCTACGGTTATCTATAATTACTATAATGAACTGTATATATCATACTGTTGTTACTTTTCTTGTACAGTGTCGGTTGTGGTGATATATATCATCGCCAAACGCTCCCCACCCCGTGACAATAAAGACTTACAGATGAACACTCTACCAGGGATGTCTGTTATGAGACCTGTATTTGAGACAAGCTCTTGTCTTGTCTATACAGTTGAATATCCCCAACATGCACCTCTCATACATACTGCGCGTTATGTATTGTTTCATAGATACATAGAGTTAGAGGTACATGCTCATAAAATTCCGTAAAACTGCAGTCTGTGACAATAAGATAACTATTATAATTCAACATACTCCCACTGTGAAGTTATTAAGTTTTGGTGAATTAGAAAGTGAAGTCAGTACATACGACTTTGAAACAAAAATGCACTTGATATCAGAAACTACTTGAAACAATCTGTAATTCCAATTACTTGAAAAAAAAACATATTGTTCTAGTACTTGTCAAGGACTTTTTCTCTGGTAACATTAGATAATTCTGTAATTGCAAAAGAGACTTCACATGAAATTGGGTTTATTTTGTTAACCCATGGAAAAAGCATATCAGTACTAGTTTTACAGTATTCTTACCATATACTCGCATGCATCAAATCAGTATTTAATAACATTGAAATATTGATAGATTTTCCAAACATGGAAATAATCGTATCATCCGCATACATATCCAACTGGTGACAGGAGTCAGATTAAGATCATTCATAAATAAATTGAACTCCTGGGGAAAGAAAGTGTACTCTTGATATTTACCCGCTATGATCTTTCTTTCAAATACGATGAGACCCGTGTGATTGATTCATTAGAGCATGGATAACATTCAAGCGTTTGTAATAAGATGACATAGTCAATGATCAAATAATTAAACACCTCGAGAAAAGAAAAGATCGAGAAAAACACACATCACACATTTGCCTGAATATATGGCTTCAATCAGAGCAGCCTGGCAAGAAAACGATTTTCGAATGAATTTTAACATTCGATCTATCCCATGATTTGTAAATTGGTAGCTTTCACATGTCCGGATAAAAACCTGAGGTAAATGCTGTGATTGAACAAAGTAGTTAAAGAGGAAAGGATTACATTTTCCGAAACTTCAGAAAAAGTAGTCGCAATTGCATCTAAACCCGTGGCTCTGTGATTAAAATGATTGTGTAGCTGTCTCGTAATAAATTCTTCGGTTAATATAGATATTTTAAAAGATGCTGCTGAGATCAGTCTAGTAACTCGTATAAGCCCGTTATATATCATGCATGTCTTCGGACAATGCACTTGATTTAGCTGGAATCCTTAGAAATAAGATATACAGGATGCATCAATGTCAATGAATATGGACCAGGCAAGAAATTGAAAGACTATATACTCTAATTGAATTGGACACATTATTAAAATCAGATTTTATTGAAGCGCTAAAATTTGAATTATCCAATAGTTCAAAAACAAGCAAAGTGTGGCCCAGCTATCAACGAATGTTGGAAGTTGCCCGATAAATCATCAAAACTGATCACACAGAGTTCTGGCAAATGTATCGTCCATGCTATATCTGAGTGTTTACCTATATTTGCTGCTGCTGGGAATGCTAATTTACTTAAATCTGCATATATTTATCTTCTGAGAAGTACTTTAGATGCAGAATGTCCTGCAATGTACATGAAATGTTTGCATAGATTTCATTAGTTGCACTAATCAGTAGTGAGTTGGTCTTGGCTCTGATTGGCCATTGAGCGAACTCTAATGTGGTCCTTGAAGAGTAAAGTTGGTTTTAAATAACTAGAGGAATTGGCATGACTGAAGAGCTGTTGATAATGTCTCCTCCCATATCCTCGAACTACAACTTTGCCTTGAAGAACTTCAATAATACGGTGTATATATCAAGTGAACAACAAAAGGAGGCAACTGATTCACAAATGAAAAGGAACAGACAGGCTAAGTTAGTAAAACTTGCAAACAGGCTTGAAAAACATTTCTCTGGATAGACAACTTTAAGAAATATTATCACGGATATAAATATAAATGTTCAAAATCCTTTCATTGTAAAAGATACAGTTAAATAAATGTGACGGAAAGAAGGAACCCCGTACAGATCAATTGCTGATACATATGCATCCTTCTCATTTAATCTATATGTGACGGATGGGATAAGGACAATACACATCAGCGCAGAAAAAGTTACAAATAAATCAATATATCAGATATCAGATTTCCAACCAAATTTGTTGGACAAGTGATGATTTTCTCTCAAATGATATGAACAGAACTGCCATCTACCTGATTGCAAACCGCATACAACAGAAAGGCAACATTATCATCGATGAGCCATTACAATTAATGTTATCAAACAATTCAACAACCTATATTGGAAAAACACATGTTTGTTACTAGTATTACTGTATCATGAAGCAAAGGACTGCAAGGATCGTTATTTTTGTTCTGACAAAATCAAAGGGAAATCAAATGTGTATTAAGGTTTTGAGTGACTCTACATCTATAAGCTCAATAAAAGTATGTCCACTAACAATTGACCAAGGGCAATTCTGTCTTGTCTGCATGTTCAAAGATCACTATAGACGAATCAAGGTACTATTGAAACCACTGGCCACAAGGCAATGCTATGCTTGTTTAAGGGGACTCAAGGTAGTGTCCATAGTGTCGCTAGTGTCATTATGCAAACATGAGAGGAAGCCACAAATCATCTATCTCGATAGACTTATTCACAAGTTATGCAGTGAATATGGCATGACAACAGCATGGATCCCAATGAGTGGGACTGGAACGTATATGGCGACATACTTGACACAATTTCTGCGCAAGTTACACTGCTCGAGATAATCCGATGTAAGTGTTCAACAGAATGCGGTACAATGAAATGTAGCTGCCACAAAAGCTTGTGAAAATTGTCAATATAGCAACTGTGACAATATATTCGTCAGTTTCAGATAACGTTGAAATAACAGACTACGTAGCTGTGTAATTATGAAACATGACATCATCCATAATGACGTAATTTACCACGTAATGACAGTCACCTTCACAAATTTCACCTTTACCAACATTAGGTTAAAGATAATGTTCAAATGTAGAGTGATGAGAAATTGTAGAATTCAACAGATATGACTAAATTGTGTTCATTTTATACTGATGGTCCAATTTAGCATATGTAAGGTTTCATAATTTTGGTAACATTTTGATAATTTATCATACTTTTCTTTTCGGATTTTTTAATCGCCAACTGCAACTCCTGACGTGAATACGTGCTGGCTAAACCTCTCTATTGTTGTAATTGCACTTATTCTATACTAAACTGTACATCTGTTTAGGAGTATGTATCTAGATTCCTACTAAATTTCACCACGTAAAAAATAAACAATATTCTGGCAATTTAATTTATGCATAGCATATACATCACATTGTTGAAATACAGCTATAGCTAATTCACGTTTATGAAAGAAATCGTTCAATTGTCTGTAACATGACTTGTCAGTCACCCAATCAATCTTTGAAATATCTAATATGACTATAAATATTTATTTTAATTTGAACAGCTGCGTTACTGGTCACTGACTCATTTGCAGAATTAAATCGCCACAGTCTGACAAAGTTCAACATAATTGGAGGATTAGACTCATAATAACCGTATATTATTCACTTATATTTCGTTTCGGAAATTCAAGTGAATCAAAGTGAATTCTGGTAAAAATTGATCGATTACACACTATTGTTGTAGCTGAACGTGTTCTTGTAATTACTAACTAAAGTATTCATGTTTTAGAAAAGAAATAATCTAATAGTACGATTGACGTAGAACCGTGTCACTACGAGTCGACGACAAGCAGTAATTCTTCTTTTACAGCACTAGCATTTTCCTCAGCTGATTAGAATACACGTCTATTATTATTATCTCATGAACAAGCCAAGTTGTCGATTTCTTCAATGATTTTTTTATTTTGTTTTCATTGGCGTTACGTGCATTTTCCAACCAGTCTGAGTAAATAAATGCTGTACATTTCGTATGGTAAATAAATGCTGTACGTTTCGTATGGTGACATAGTATTACAAACTTGATATATATTGCCATATAAAAAAAAACATTCTGTTTTATTCATCTGTGATTTTCGTCTGTTTTGACGGGTATGACATAGAACGACCAAGCTACGTATACAGCCGTAGTTTCTGTTCAAGGAGAAATAACTTGGCTCGTTCATGTGATAATTTAGAGTACTCCTTGAAAAGCATTTACCCCAACATAATAAAACTGTCTATGAACTGAAATAAAGTCGAAATTGGATTCGAAACTTAAAATAATAATATTACATATTGCGTGGAACCTGTTTTATGAGAAAACCCCTAATGATATGATAATAATGGCAGTTTCGTTTAATTCGGCGTTTTTGTTGTAAATTGCATAACACACACTTTCAATCACCAAATTTATACTATAGTTGTTTAAATTGAAATAAAACTCCTGATTGTATATTGTATCGAAATATTTGTATGAGTAATAACTACAAAGTGTGCTGGCAAATGAATCCGTTTTAATATACGCGGCCATGATGACTTCCTTTGATGTCAACAGAATGGGTAATTTGTAGTTAACATTGCCTGGCAGAACTCGATATCCATGAATAAATATAAATACAGCAACTTACTATAATTTTGATAGTTTACCGACAGTATGGATGGGCAACAATTCAGGTGGTTCGTACATTTGTTTTTAGTCTTATCATGGGCATTTAGCGTAAGTAAATTTGTCTGACAATAATTTTGCGATCTATAATTTATCTTTACATTGATACAATACCTATACAGAATATATGTTTTATTATATGATATAGTGATCTGTAATTTGTATTTACAGTATTATATAATTGCATTTAAAATATACAGAAATTGCTTGTTATATAATTTTTATATATTACTATTTACTTCCTTTAGGTTAATACGCAAACAGGTAAGACACGACTTACTGTGTTTATTTTAATTATAGTTGTTTATTTATTGTATATTCGGCTATACGTAAGTTGAAAAATAATATTTCTGATATTAACCGACAATTCTATTTCGTTTTTATCTTTTCGCGCCATGTTTTAAAATAATACTTCATAAAGTAACATTGATTTCAAAATACAGAGTGTGGGAATTGGACGCAGTGGATGGATGACGAAAATGGTGGTCTTGTTGACCCTCAACTTGGTGAATTTGAATACCTCCCTGATCTTCGTAGCCTCTATGATTTCTGCGAAACCCCTAGCAGTATTGAGTGCCGTACAGTGCTTGAACCGTATACACTATCGTACGAAACTGGACAGACCGTACACTGCGATTTACCTGATGGATTGATATGCTTTCATGAAGACAATGTTTCCCCTTGTATGAACTACAAGATTCGATTGTGTTGCCCGTTGCCATTGGAAAACGGTAAGAATGGCGTCCGTTTTGTATTTTGTTTAACACTTTGTAGTAGCATGAAATACCGGGAAATTTCAAACTAATTAATAACGACTTGCTTGATTTTATCTATTGTCGATTGTTTTATGATAACATGATTCATTAGATTCACAATTCAGAGTATACTTTAGCCACGAATCGACTGTAAAACTGCGTTCAAAATGATAACCATTAGATTTAGTAGGGCAGTTATAATTTGTTGCAAATATTTATGATATTATTTATATTTATACTAGACGAACTATGTGTTGGTGATAATTTATATAAAATGGTTTGGCAAGGCTCCCTGACGTGGTACGATGCAGACATACAATGCAAGAACCTCTTCGCTCCAAAAGGCTTCGTTGCCGGTTTAGCTAATTTAGAATCTAATGAGGTACGAAACTCTGTGAGAAGGTTCATAAAGAATGTTCCAGGTTTCTCCGACCCAAAAGGGAAAGGCTACTGGATTGGGTGTCACGACGAGGAAAACGAAGGCATATTCGTATGGTTGAATGGAGAGAAGGTTAATGTGCCAGACAGTGCCTGGTATTCCTATCCAAACAACAAATATACCGGTAATTGCGATGCAAAAGATGGGGACCAGGATTGTTGTCAACTGTGGTACGTTGATTCCAATTAGTATATTATGCTTGCAAACTTCCTTTTTTTCAAACATTTTCTGAAAAGTCATTCTTCAGGTAATCTCTCCCGTCCTGCAATTACAAATAAATGGGTGAACTCTGTGAGCTTCTTCGTATTGATCCGTCAATTGTCATAATGTTTTTTATAGGGAAAGACCAAAAAACGATCCTTCCTTCAAAATGGATGATTCCTGCTGTACAGACAACAAGGCTTTCATCTGTGAAGTTCGTAAGTTCACTATAATATAATTGAATATCGAAAACGAAATGAACACTTAGAATCAATTATTTTCTCTATTGAAGAGTCAATACGGATAACTGTACTCTGGGTATTTTGGAGCGTTTTTAATTAGTGTTCTTTGATATTGTATGTGAAATATTATTTAATGTAAAATATAAACGTAAACGTGGCATTTTACATTATCCAGACTTTGTGTTGCATCACTGATGTATTAATATCGTTACCTGTTGCGTTTCGTCGGCCCAAAGATGCATAACATGTAATTACGTTAAGAAGCATGCAACATATTCAGTGATATGGGAGACAAAAGACAAAATACGTGGTACTACTACAGAGTACATTTATTACTATTACTCGAAATACTCTGATTATAAAATTTACATTTTATCTCCAGCTGGATATTGCGCACGTCCATAGAAGACGATGTCACACCGGTATATGTGGTTTATAAGACGTGACAATTATACACAATGATAAGTAATCATTTACAATATAAATGATATGTAAATTACCGACACATTCTCAATTAAATTCATCATTCACCAATCAATCAAATGAAGTATTTTTGTTTAATATCTACTGTTTAACACTTTGAACGCAAATCCCAATTAGTGTCACCAAAAAATAATTGATAATGAACATTGAATAGAGTTTGTAGCTAATTTGAAACCGTGTCAGTATCATTTAATATTAACAAAGACATTATAGATTATTTTGGCAGAAAATGCGGCATTTAAAGTATTGCTTGTTACCTCGGTTAGTCTCATTCCCAGGGAATATTTTTATCACTTATTTGAATACGTGTGTGCATTGGCATATGTGTATCATTTGTTCGATTTCATGTGTGTGTGGGGGTGTGAGATGGAATATCTATTTTGCTGCGATTATCCAAATTTGTTGGCTGTTTCTTTGCAATTCGTCGCGTCGATGTGAATCTTTCATCGGATCAATCGTGCCCTGAATTCTAATTATTTATCACGCGGCCATTGAGATATTACGTGCAGATAACAGGAACAGTTAATACACTCCCTAATGATAGCGTACATGTAAGTATCATGCCTTCTACACTGTCTTGTTTTCATGGACATTTTCCGTTTCTGGGGGAAAAACTACGCTTGCTAAGAACATGACTGTTTCTTCGAAGGCTTGATCGTAAATAATAACTTATACACTTCATATACAAACACTACAAACACATTAAGCGCATATTAATCAAGCAAAACGGGATTCTAACTCGAGACTTCAGCAAATAATAAGCAAGTAAGCAGACACATATCGCATTGCACCGTACTCAACGTTACTTTTATACTTAACAATTTAATATAACATGAAAAAGAAATTAGATCGATACACACTGGTGCGAAGTAACCATATAAACGCATATATACAATGATGCTATCTTTCGATAATGGGCGATTAAACATTCAATCATAAACACAACAGGAAATGCTAGAATTGGTTTGTATTTATGACTTAGTTTGTGTTCAGTTATATTGGCATAGCAACATCGGGGAGAGTTAACAAATGAATCGAGAACTCGAGAACTGTTAATGTTCAAGTACACTGCAAAACACGCGACTCCACTTCACAAAATAAATTAGAATATTAATTGCCTGTAATCACATATGAAATGGCATATTCGGGTCAGGCGTTGTCCATAAAATCGTCGTACGTTGACTCACGAAGTCTTTCATATCCTGAAACATGCTACTGTTAGTACTGCTCCTGTGCATTTTCTCTTTCACATCTTTGCAAAAGGTAAGATGTCACAAAATACATTTATTCTCTTCGATTACTGCGAGTATATAACTTATAATATTAAGAAGTATTTTCGATTTGCTAATATATTGCATAACCGATAATGTCAATGCATAAACATATTCTTTTTTATTTCTATTACTTCAGACAAATGCGGCAGAAGAAGGTGTAGTACTTATTATTTGTTTTTATCATCTTTATTTATTCAATATATATTATATAGTCATAATTGTTTTGCTATTTACAGCAACAGTGTGCAGTATCATTCATTATAATCGCAAAGTTGTTTAGTTTACAAGTGTTGCACCACGAGTAAATCAGACCCATTTAAAGCAAGGTTATTCTTAAATTGCGAGTACAAATTTTCTCTCATATTTTCATCACGATTGATTTATCAGCACTGGTCATTATCAGACCATCGATGTTCCTTTCACAAATAAAACACACGCTCATAGTGGCCACGCAGAAACAACAACCGTTGCAGTGTAACTAATCGCACGTTAACACTAGTTCACGGACTTTGTCCAGGTGCAACGTTCACCAGTCTTCGGATTTCGATCTGTTAGTGGCGTTTGGCTTTGAATTAAATGCTTGGTGATATTTGAACCGTAATAAATCAGTAGCATCGATGTTGAAGTGTTACAGTTGTCGCACTGCGCCGCGTTCGAGATGAACACCATGAGCCGTGAACAACGCTTTGACAACTCCAACACGAAAATCCTACACTACACAGTGACTGTGGCGCTTTATAATATCTGGTGCGTGTGTATCAGTGTTTCATATGTATTTGTTTTGACGATAGTTAACGCATTTTTTGTTCCACCAGCCTGTGATGTATGGACCGAATGGATGGACGACGAGAATGGCGGTCTGGTTGACTTTGAAGCAGTAGGTGAATTTGAATTGATAGAAGATCTTCGTCTAAATTATCAAATTTGTGACTCGCCCTCTGAGATGGAGTGTCGTGCCGCGGTAGAACCGTACACTCCGTGGGACCAGACATCACAAACTCTACAGTGTCATTTATCGTATGGTTTGATATGTTTCCATGACGACAACCATAATTTATGTCAGAACTACGAAGTACGCGTGTTTTGTCCATGTTCTGTCCAGAATGTGACATATAATGATTCTGCTGAAGGTACGTCTTCTAATTTGACGGCATGTAGAGAAACTTTTCAAAATTGTATTTCGTGTGTGTACATCAGTGGCAATGAAACTACGCTAGATTACGAAATCCGATGTTTGGATATGAATCGTAATAAGAGCCCATTATATTGCGTATATTTTTAGCTACACAGTGAACTAATTTTAGTACAGAGATTCGATTAAAATGACGACTGTATGTTTCTGTACACATATTGGCAGGGTAGCTAGTATCCATTTTCATTGATAAAAATCGTCCAAGTGGTCTCGGCGTTTATCGGCTAGGGTGTAACTTACATAAATGCGTATCTTTATGTATATCTTCATGGATAGTGTGATAACCTATCACATCATGAAGCATGTTGTTGTACTGTAGATAAATGTACTGGGAAGTTGTATGCCGTTTGAAAATTGTCAAAATATTTTTATATTAAAGTGTTGATATTGTTAAACAATTAGGCAATAATTAAGTATTCACATTGAAATGAGAATTTAAGTTCATCACTAGTTAAAATCTTTACTCAACATACATATCTCGTTGCAGCTGCGGTTGTGAAATTTATTAATGGGAATTGCTATTGTGCTACTCTGAACTACTTTTGATATTCTTTTTTCAGACGAACTTTGTATTGGAGACGATTTGTTCAAGGTATTTCTCAGCCCAATCATGATGTGGAAATCAGCTGATGACTACTGTAGAGATCAGTATAGTATTGATGGGTTTGATTCGTCGCTGGCTGTTTTAGAGAAGCAAGAAGTACGCAATACACTGCGCACGTTTTTGATGTCATCGACAGTGTACAGTCATCCACATAAACACGGTTATTGGATTGGTTGCAACGATCGGGACATAGAAGGTACCTTTACGTGGACCACCGGGGAAGCTATGAAAACGCAAGATATGGTATGGTCCCCAAACAATCCCAACAACAAGGTCAATCTCAGGTGCGCGGATGAAGATCATGACCAAGATTGCTGTCAACTCTGGTAAATATTTCTTAGTTATTACATTTTCATATAAGACATTGATTTGTATTATCTTGTGTCTAATACTCGGATGAAACTTTTTTTTTTATTATTATTATATGATATTAAAACAGTACAAATACAAAAAACCATAACAACGTAAAAATTAAAATGAAAAAACAAAACAATTTAGAGTAACTCCATTGAATCAAATAGTGGGTCCCATGTACTTTTGAATCCATGTAGAGAGTCTTTCTGTATGGACTTGGAATACTCAATATTAAAGGTTAAAATCAAAGTATTTTTCCATGCCTGTATACTTGGCTGCACCTGTTTCCATTTACACCGCATAATATACAATTTCGTAAAAAGTATCAGAAAATTTAAAAGGCATGATGATTTCTGTTTGATTTAAAGGTATGCCCAAAATTATATCTTTCTGAGAAAATTTTATGTAAATATTGCCGTTTACCTCTAAATAATTTTCTACCTGTGTCTAAAGCTCAAGCACATGGGGGCATTCAAAAAACAAATGATGACATCTTTCTACAAACAGACCACAAAAAGAACATCTTTCATCCTCTTCCAAATTTCTTAAATGCAAGTATCTGTTAGTTGGTGTAATTCTATGTAATAATCGAAATTGAACATTTCTCATTGATACATCGTCCGTA